CTGGCGTAATATAAATGGATTACTTTAAATACCCATATCTTGCGCAAGTTTTAACGATTTTTTTTAATTATATTTTTATGTTTAATTAAAAGTTATTCTTCAAAATTTCATTTAAGATCTAATTATAGTCGGACCTCTATTTAATGAAGTCGCTGAACCCCGATAGTAAGTTCGTTGTATGGAAAATTCGTTAAATAAAAAATCACCTTTTGAAATACTTAAAACAGGTTTTTAATTCATAAACGTTAGATATAATTAAATATCAATTGATACATCTATATCTTGTATACTAGTATCTTCTATTTATTTTATATATCTTAACCATGGAAGAAATCTGCATGGAAAGCAAGATTAGAGTATAACATTATCCAGTGTTACATACACTATCATGCTACATACATTTTCAACTTTAAAAAAGCGCTACGATAATCATTTCAAATTCATTTCCCCCATAAAATGCGTTAACAAGTTTGAAATGTTCTGAAATATTTCGAGAAAAAGGGAAAGTGGATCTCAAAGAAAAGTTCGTTAAGTACAAAATTCACTTCGCTATTTGGAGGTTATTTTAAAATGTTCTTTGTTCCTCGAAAAAATTCACCCAATAGAGAAATTCGTAAAATGGAAGTTCGTTAAATAGAAGTCCGACTATAATTTATTTTATTTTGGAAAATCTTTTCATGGTGTAAAAATATTTTTTTACAATTTTTGCAAAATTATGAACAAAAGCTTTTAGTTGCATAATTTTACTTGCAAGCTGGTAAAGAGTTAGTTAGCCAGTGTTAACTGCAATAGAAAATCTATACACTTCTATTACAAGAAAGTGTAGTGAATCAATAATTCATTTAAAAATTCATTTTTTGGGGTGGGGGTGGGAAGGGTAGAGAACTCGTGAAGAGTCGTAATTGAATAAATAAATTCTGGCCACAGCTGATTGCATAACAAAACGGATCGATAACAAAATCACGTGTGCAATCCCAACCGCAACTTTTCAATTTGATTCCAAACTAAGAGAGAGCTTTTAAATTGAAATTGTTTTCTTTTTATTCTTTCTTAAATTGCAATATCGTCTGCTTTATTTCGAATGTCAGACGATTTTTTTCCCCTTCTAATTTCTCTCTTTTAAAAAAAGGATTGCGCTTAATGTAAACAATATCTGGACTGAATTACTGAATCTTTCTAAAAATAATTTGTGTGGGTAAAAGGAGTTCTTTTAGTTGCAGAAAAACCTATATCCAATATAAAGTTTTTAAAACTTTATTTGGAAGTTGCTCGTTTGCCAGCCAGCTGTGCGAGTCTGAATGGAAAACAAGAGAAACTTTATGGAATGCCTAATGTTCAATGATATTAATTTTTGCAAAGAAAAAATAATAATTGTAACGTGAATGTTTTTTTTTAGCAAGTACTTGTAATATAAAAAAAGAAAATTTTGAAGTCAATTCCTACTTAGGTCAACAAAGAAACATTTTATTTTAGTTAATTTTTATTTAATAATTACAATTTTTTCTCCCATATAAAACTAAAATTAATTTAATTAAATTTAATGAATGAATTAATATTTGAAAAAAATTTATGGCTTATGGTGACTTGGAGCACATGCGCTACCACGTAATGTTCTTTATTGTATTTATCTGACACAGCGAATATAAAATAATTAAATATTTAAATGTGCACAATAAACTATTTGTTCAAATAGAGCTATAAGTTGGAAAATATCACGGATGTTATTTCTGAAATATGTAAAAAACTGAATCGCTTATAGTAAAGTTTAAAACAATGACTAATGCTTAACCCATCAAAAAATTACATTTCGTTTTTCGCTCATCCCTATTTAATGAATTAATATTTGAATAAAATGTATTAACATCAAGTGTGGATGAATTAAAAGTATTTTATTAACAATTGAAAATTTGAACAAGATATATAGAGAGTGTGAACTAATTGTAGGATTTGGAGAAAAAGAAAAAATTAAAACGTGAAGAGTTAAAAGTGTAACGTTAAGTTAAAGATTGAAAATCAAATAATAATTATAAAGTCATTGGAATAGTTTGAAAATTAGAAATTATGTAAAGAGCAATCTTTTTATTATTTGTGTTCAGGGCTAAGATCGCGTGGACGTCGTAGGTATCCAGTTTTTGAGGGGGACAAAATTAAAATCCGCTGTCACAATAGTTCTCTAAATTCACAATTATGGAAGAAAAAAAATTATTTTATCCACAAACTGATTTTTTTTTTTTTAACTATCTTGTTTTTAATTTGAATGAATTGAGGTGAATTTAAATCAATAAAGATTCATGATTTTTTTTATTTATTTATTTTTCTTTATTGAAATATTGAGGTGGACTTTTAAAGAATTTTATTGAGGAGGACACTAATTCCCCCCCCCATCCCTCCTTCCCCCCACACACGCCGGTGATGTCCATTTCTAGGTGTTCATGATAAATGCTTTTTTTTTTTTCCTTTATAGAGCATTTTTTTTGGGTCATATTTTATTATTTTTTTAATTTTATATTTAATTTTTTTAAATCAATTTCAACAGATATTTTTCATTTGAAGAGCATTTTGTTTGAATTTTTTCGTTTTATTAGTGACTCATTTTTTGACAAATTTTGCTCTGACTTGTTATTTTAAATATCCTCCAATTACAAGCGTTAATTGATANTAATTTTTTTAAATCAATTTCAACAGATATTTTTCATTTGAAGAGCATTTTGTTTGAATTTTTTCGTTTTATTAGTGACTCATTTTTTGACAAATTTTGCTCTGACTTGTTATTTTAAATATCCTCCAATTACAAGCGTTAATTGATACGACAGGGTGCGTAGCGTTTTTAAAAAGTGCTTATTTTTGATTTAGGTATTTTAAAAGCCCTTAAAGGTGCTTTTTTTTATTCGGGGTTTGTAAAAAGTGTTTAATTTTCTATTTTTTTTTAAATCGATTTTTTTTTCTTTGCCTTATCGATTGTCATTCTAAATTACAAAAAAAAATGCATGATTTTCACAATTTTCTATGCACTATTTATCAGAAACTAGTTATTTTATCATGATTATGTAAAGTTTTTGAAAATGTTAATTATGATTTTTGTTTAGAAAGTGATTAAAAATATTTTTGATTGTTTAAAAAATACTTAAAAGGTGCTTATTTTTGCGTAAAATTCTGGCTACGCACTCTGATTACGTAAGAGATGCATCGGAAAATGGCAAAAAAAAAAAAGTATTTGAAATTGCTGAAATCTTGCTCGTCGCAAGGTTCGTAGTTGTATTGGTTTCAGTTTTTATTTCTGAATCTTTATTTAGCTTTTTGTCATGATTTTTTTTTTTTTTTTTTTTTTTTTTTTTTTTTTTTTTGTCTGTGTTCAGAACATCCAATTTTCTACAAATGCAAATAAAATGCAGATTTGAAGAATCAAAAGATTCGGTTTTCCTCCTCTAACGTCATTTTATTTGAATAGAAGCTAATAAAAAACGTGACATTTGATAGTTCAATAGTTCACCAATTGTGCGTTAGTTTCAAACTTATGGCCTCAGTGGCATCCCGTCAGCCCCTTTATGCAAACAAGACTTTTACCGCCCCCTCTATATAGGCACACAATCGATTAAATAAACATTATTTTAATGTACAGTCGGACCTCTATTTAACGAAGTCGCTAAATCCGATTAATAAGTTCGTTATATGGAAAATTCATTATGCAGAAAATCACCTGTTGACGTACTTAAACAACACGAAACGAGTTTTTAAATTCGTAAACACTGGACATGGTTAAAATAGCAATTGGTATACTTTTATCTTGAAAACTAGTATCTACTATTTATTTTATAAATCTTAATCTTAAAAGAAATCTGCATAGGAAACAAGAAAAGAACAAAACATTATCCAGTGTTGCACTATCATGCTACAAATATTTTTAACAAAAAAAAACTAAATTTGTGTATAAAATTATTGTTGCATTTATAATAAAAGTAATTTTAAATATACATAACTGCATGAGCTCTTAACTTTAATTACTAGAGATAAAATCCGTTAAGTTTGTCTGAGTTTTTCGTTTGAAATGCAAACAACGAGGGAAAGGAACTTTACTGCTTTCTCTAAAAGTTAAGTGGCATCAAAAATCAATTCAAAGTCATATCCCCCATAAAATGAGCTAACAAGTTTGAAATCTTTTGGGAAAGTGGATCTCAAAGGAAAGTACGTTAAATAGAAAATTCACTTTGCTATTTCAAAGTTATTTTATGAAGAAATTTCCAAAATTTTCTTAGTTCCTCGAAAAATAAATCTCAAAATAGAGAAGTTCGCAAAATGGAAGTTCGTTAAATAGAAGTCTGACTGTATATTTTATTAAGAAAAAAAAAATTCCAGAAATGGAAAAAAATCTACATTTTTTTTTCTTTACAGGATGCAGCTGCCAATTAAAAATACACTAATCAGATCATTTCTTATTATATTATGGAAGATAAATTAATTTCCAATTTCTTATGGTGATGAATTCAGGGGTCGTACACTTATTTCTTGTTTTCAACAGGTGCAGTAATAAACTTTGTAGGGGTCAGTTCACAATTATTGATGTGCCTCTTTTATTTAGTTCTTAAAATGATCAATTCTAATCTTGTCTTTTAATTGGGGAAATTAGGTTTATTCACTAAAGCACATTAAGCAGCATATTTACTGTGTTCGAGATTATTTTAAGCAAAATGGAACATTAAATAATTAATGTATGAATAAATACTTTAGATAATTATGTGTTAATGCAGCTAGAACTTCTTTGATAGTTAAGGATTTTTTTTTTCCTTTTTGTCCTTTAAAAATATTTTTTTTTATAACAGTTTTAGACCAGATTCGTCTTATGTTGTATAGAGAATTAAAAGTTGGTATGAAAACTGGGTACTAACCTTTTAGTTAAAATCTATATAATTTGTATACTTCTGCAAAATTCATTGAGTAAAAATTATTGCATCAAATATTGTTGTATTGCACACACCTGTTAATAAAGCATGTTTCTCATTCAGCTCGTGTAGCAAGATATTCAGCGAGAGCAAAGAACGAAGTGAAATGTCCCGTCTGCAGTTTAAGGATGTCTGGTACAGCCGAAGAAATCAATAAGCATGTGGCTTTCTGCATACAGGTTCATTTATTCATTCCTCTTTTAAATAAAATTTGCTGTTTCTCTCAGTTGTTGCCATTGTCTCTATAACTAGTAATTTAAATATCACAATGTATTGTCAAAAAATATCTATAATAGTTTTACAATTTAACTAATTCCTATTATTCTTGCATCTGTCAATTTTTTCGTTCTCCAAATAAAATTCATCAACACTCACAATATCGTGTTTATTAATTATCGTAATGTGTAATATTTTTCATTGCTACTTTTTGATATGCTATCTTTTTGATGTTTGATATCTTGTGACAGGGTTTTCCCTAAAATATAAGATATTGAATGTTCAGACAAGTTCAAAAAGGGAGTGAGTTTTTAGTATTTGATATCACTGCAATATGAAGGGGAAAAAATAGTAAAACTAGTGATAACGCATCATATGAAGATTTTTACGAGCTTACCGTATTATTATTTTATTTTTAGGCAAACATGTTAATTTCCGCATAGTTTCCTTTCCAAGAAATGAAAAAGTTTTTAGCAAGTTAAAACTATTTTATTTGCGGAAAAGATAAATGTTTCTATTTTCATCTTTTATTTACAGTAGTGACTTGGAATATCAAAAACTTTTACAGTTGACATTCTAGTCCTGTACCTTTAAAATTATTAAGTAAATATAAAATTGTTCTTTATAGATATGTAAGAAAGGTGTTATCAATTATGCCATCTATCTTAAGGTATCCCAACATAGAATAGAGTTAATATGACTGGTGAGTTGGAGTTGTATTTTTGTAATGTAGACACACTACAGTAGTGTAGACCACCAAAATTTTTATCTGTGATAGAATTCAATGACCACCAGTTGATTTATTGCTGTTTCATGCTGAGCTGTATAAAGATCACCAGGCTTTGAGTGCTGATCGTGAGAGCTGTATTAAGTTCGCAGTTGCTCTTGTGTTGCAAAAAGCAGTTGAGTGTATGTAAGCCGACACGTTGCGTGATGAGGGCAATTATGCAGTCACAAATAGCAAGAGAATTGCTTGATGTTTACTATCAGCTGAAGAAGGCGCGTTCAAATCAAAATAGGTGTGTACAGATGGCATTGCAAATGTAGGGCAAGTATTATCGACCGTATTAACTTTTTTTTTGTTTATTCAGCAACCGCTATTTCATGCCTTCAGACTCCAACTAGTGTTTCGCACGATCATGCCTGTGTATTACAATTGTGGAATGGTTGTTTTGTATTGTATCAATGTATGTACATGTCAAATTTTATTGAAATCAGTCCAGTAGTTCTAGAGATAATAGACCAAGTTTGCAAATTCTCTTAATTTCTTACACCAGTGTGGAATTGAGTTAACTTGTTTTATACTAATGAATTAGAATCGAATTTTTGTAGTTGTAGACAGACTATAGATTTAACTAAATCTTTTTCTTTTTTGAAGGACGAAGATTCTGATGTTAATGTCGATGATACTGACAGCTTTGAAGAATATGAAATTGGTGATGAGACTAGAATACGACCTATTAGTTTAGTTCCTGGAGGATATAGATGTAAGAATTACTTCCTGTTTTTTTTTTCTCTATGAAACGTATAAACATACATTTTCTTTTGATTAATCTGTATTTTATTGAATTCAGGGTATCCGCACACCTGGAAAGTCATGAAAAATCATGAATTTTGGTATTGAACAAAATTTGTCATAAAATGTCATAATTTTTGCTATTTTTTTAAAAAAATCATGAAAAGTCATGGATTTAGGTCATCAATGAATCTTATTTTTAAAACGGAATGTACCCCCTCCCCCCAATTTCATGGTGTTCCAAATATCTGAATTTGTAACAAACCCCCCCCCCCTCACAGTCATATTTTATTGAAAGATAAAATGTTATTTTCATGCTCTTTAAAAATCATGGTGTTCTTTAAAAAAAATGAAAGAAAAAACATCATCTCTAGAGCAAATTATCTTTTAAACAGGGTTCGTGATTTTTTTGATTTTTTTAAAAAAAATCAAAAGAATCAGATTTTTTTGATTTAAATCGGATTTTTTTGATTTAAATCAGATTTTTTTGATTTTTATTCAAATACGCTGTAAGAACTTTAATTTATGATTAATAAAAATTATAAATGTTTAATCAAATTAACTTAATATTAAAACTATATTGTAACAATATTTTAGAAGCTCAAGCTCTAACTAAAATAATTTTTCATTATAATACATGGCTTTGAATGCATAGCAACCATTTTGAAACAAATGCATGATTAAAATTTAAAGACTAGATGAAATAGAGAATTTAAAGAATACTTCAGGGGTCTGTCTGGGTTTTTCTGAGAGATACCTTTTTTGTGAAAATTAAAAATTATA